AGAATAAAAACAAAACAAAGATCGATGCTCTTATTTGTTGAGTTGCAAAAACAGATCGTAGAGTCCCGAGTGAGTCCGGACTGAGTAAGTGCCGTTGAGCTTCACTGCACTGAAATCTGAAGGGACAACCGATCACACTGAACGAGCCGACCCACGCTTCACTTACAATATATACAAACCAATAGATCATTCTCATGTACATGTACATTTTAAGGTCATAAAGCATATCACTCTGTACACTCTGTGTCCGTTATATACTCTTAAAGTCTTCAGCATTTCTACTCTAAAGCTCTCATTAAATATCTCTCTAATGCTTCAAGTATAAGTTCATTCAAAGAAAAATACTGCTGGCAGCGAGAAAAACAAAAACTGCAACATGTGTGGAAGAAAATCAAACATCTGATTTTCTTTAGATCGTTTTAAAAAATAAAAGTGATTGCCTGATGTTACAGAGAAAAGAAACAATAAATGAACAGGCGCCAGGTAGTCTAGTGGTTAGTGTGCGCGCCCCATGTACAGAAACTATAGTCCTCTAAGCAGGCAGCCCGGGTTCAAGTCCAACCTGTGGCTCCTTTTCTGCATGTTGTTACCCACTCTCTCTCTCTCTGATTTCTGACTCCACTCACTGTCCTCTCTCTAAAATAAAGCACAAAAAGCCGCAAAATAAACCTTTGGAAAAAACAAGAGATGAAGCTCGTTGAAGGCACACTGACCCAGGGAAATCAAAGCTCGAAACATTTCGGTTTTGGAGAACGATAATGGTGCAATGCTGCCATCTAGTGGCATTTACTAACACACATTCTGGATGACACCAGTAAAAGCCGAGCAGTCTTGCATATTCTTTTCTGAAGAAAGTAAGACTTGCTCCACGTTTGGTTGTACAATTTGGGAGGATTTAAGAGGCTAAGATGCTACATTTGACGAGCTCAAGCTGTGTTCAAACCAAAGACTGTAAATTAAGATGCGACAGTAGACGAGAGAATATTTAACGAAAACCAACAACAGTCACTGAACTTTCCTTAATATTAACGTGTTTCGGACTGATCTTAGGGATCTTTGATGTCTTATTGGTGAGTAAAATGGCGCCTCAGTTCTTGGAAGGGGCGTGGCATCAATTCCACAGTTAGTACAGCGGAAGGAAACAAATGTGCACTCTTCATACTGATATACAGTCTTTTTTTTTTCAATCTGGAGAAAAAAATCTTGCATAATTCAGATCCCAGCACTTCTTCACATCTTTGTACATCTATACTTCAGGCCACACACACACACGCACACACACGCACGCACACACTGATCAACTTTGGTCTCTACACGTCTAAGTGTTACCGAATCTATCATGGGGAATCTGGAGCAAACAAAGAAGTTGCAGACCAAATTTTGAGTCATTTTGAGAATCCATTGTTGATCTGAATCTTAAATATATATATTTTAAATTATTATATTAAAAATGTATTAAAGTGCAACTTATAGTTTAATCAGCAACACAATTGGTGATGTTTAAAGAGTATATATATCGAGATAATGCCAGGAGAAAACATGTTTCTGAAATAAGAAAGCATCATCTGAGTATCGCTAGAAATAAAAACACATTTTTACACGCTTGACAAAGAGTTGCAGCTCTGAGGTTTCCCCGCTACCAGCAGCCAGCAGCACTTTCATAAAGTGACTTTGATATCAAAAATAAAACATAGGTGAAGGAGAAATCCAGGTTGAAAGGGATGTTGAAACACACTGATCTGAGGTAGAGTGACAAACAGGGACACGGACCGGTGAAATAAGGAAAGTTACACTGAAACTGAGGCGTTTGGTTATTAAACTGAACCTCTTCATCATTCTTGGGGTTTCTCATCTCAAGATTTGTATAATATATATAATATATATATATATAAATTATATATATATATATATCTTTTTAGGGCCTTTTTTGGCTAAAATATTTCCCTGGGTGAAATTTGAGAAAAGAAAAAAAAACTTGGCAATTAAAGTTAAGATGAAACGGTCTTCAAACTGATATTTGGACATGAAGGAGTTCATGTTGCCGACTCATCTCTTAGCTTTTAACATTCATACCTGGTCAGCATCAATAGCAGGTAAGATACTGTACACTTAAAAAAATAAAAATCCCCTAACCCAACCAAATAAAACCAGTAACAAAAAAAGTTCTTCAACACACAAAAAATATAAACATTGATGTTTTGGCTGCTGTAAATACTTTGCAGACGTATTTCTTTTTGTACAATGAACAATAAGAAATCATTAAAATACAGCTTCAAATGATACAGCTGAAGGTAAAAATACCTTGTTAGTTTATCACAAAAACAATCAAAGACTTCAAGCTTAAAGATGAGCAGTAATCCTTCCATTAAAGCCTCAAAAATACTTCTCTCTCCCTTCACAGGGGATTTGATTCGGTGAGTCCCAAAAGTGGGCGTATCCCAAAAATGGGCGTATCCATTCCTTAAAATAGCAGATGATCCCTCTGCTTGTTAATCAATCGATGGTCTCAATTTAACTGTCTCGTCTCGGTTGGCCCCAACTTTTCAATCCAAAAACTGTCAAATCAACCAAAGACATCATGTGGGCAGCTCATACGCCCTTGCAAAAGAAACATCCTCATTGGTCGGTCAAGGATGTTGATACCTCCGTTAGTAGGAAGTAATATTTCCTTCTCACAAAGAGAATGCAATTGGAGCTTCTTGCGGTCAATCTTCAGACAACAAAAGAACACTTAGTCCCGCCTTGGAAATGTGTAACTGGTTCTTTGCCCTTAAACCAAGTGTCAATCAATTAAGCTCCACCCTGTGTGTCAATTCTAGCTGTCAATCAAACAATACTGTCCTGCAGGAGTGGCTCAAAGTCCTCGTCGCTGGCAGTGGGAGGAGTCTCTTCATCGCTGCCTGGTAGAGGTGTGTTGATGTGGACACCGGCCAGCGAGGACATTGACTCTTTGCTGTTGCTGTCTGGGCGGGGCTTATCGCTGAGGGATAGATGGGAGGAAGAGGCGGAGCAGGCGGGTTTCTCAGGGATGAAGAGAGCGACGAGGAAGGCGACGACCACAGTGCACGCCCCCAACAGGAAAGGCGGGCCAGGGATGAGGGCTCGCTGAGAGAGACACAAAGAAGGAAACATTTTTCAATTCGTTGTCCTTTATCAGAATAGTAATAGTAATGAGTCTTGAATATTTTGATGAAGTTATTCTGAACACCTGTCACTATTTTCACCTGGTTTGATTCTTAAAAAGCGACTCAGGAACAGGAGAGCAGATGTTCACATTTTCCCAAGCAAAGTCTCCCAGTGACCTTATAGCTAATGAGGCAGGAGGTGATTTTTCCTTTCCAGATTCTGCTCATGCAAATCTGCAAAATAATTTGTCTAAGTGGGCGGCTGGAGGATTATCTGTGTGTGCAGGTGGATCTGGATGAATTCAGAGCTGATCCACACATCACTGTTTAAAATACTGGCTTCTATTTTCCCACACAAGCTGCTCTGTGTCTGGCTGTTTGTCGATACGTCTGCCTAAGATGAAGCGCTCATATGAAAGCCTCAGGTTGGTTCTCCATCTATGTGAAAGGTATAAACAGGTTTGTTCCTGGCGAATAACTTCTAAGGCCATTGACATTGCTTAATTTAAAATTGTCTGCATGCTAATGATGTCATTTTGTCTGCAGAATGTGGCTACATTAGCAAAATGTGGTAAATGTGGATATGCATTGCTCCTGTCGATATGCCAGTTTAAGCTGACACAGCCCACATACATGTTTATCATAATTAAGATAAAAATATTGAAGAAGCTATCTGTTCACTGTGCTTGTTTACATCCAGGCAGTAGAGCAGGCAGAGCAGGATTAACACATAGATATATTAGTAATTTGTTCATTGGACCAGTAACTCTGGTGCTAGGGAGGGTGTTGACATTAAACCGTGTAGTGACTGACACGGATACTCCTTAATGTTGAATGTTTTCTGTACCTCAGTGGGACTGTGAATAGGCAGGGGGTCGATGCTGAAGTCTCCCTGGATGGGGTCCATGGCGTTTAGTTCCACGTTAAAGAGGAAGAAAACAAATCCATACAGAGCTGGACCCAGACCGTTGCACAGGCCTCTGATCCCTGTTATCATCCCCTGGACCACACCTGCAGGAGGAGAAGAAGAGGGGGGTCAGCTTTATTGATCAGACTGGTTATCGCTGACACAATGAACACTTTATCTACTGATAAATTTAGCCAGAGCAGGATGTCTTTCACTGCTTCAGTAACACAGACTGCTATCCAGAAAATCCATAGCAACACACTGACCTATTGATCTGAGGAGGAGGATGAGAGAGACAAAGAAGAGAAGAAGGGCGAGGCGAAGAGAATGAGAAGAAAATGAGAGGAATAAAAGGAATGAGGGAGAAGAAGGAGAGGAGAGGAAAGAGGAGGAGGAGAAGAGGGTAGGATATAGGAGGATAAGTACGGAGAGGAGAGAGAAAGAGAGAGAGAAAGGAATCAGCGATCAGGAGAGAGATGAGCACAGGGGAAGAGAAAGGAGGAGAGATCATGGAGGAGGAAAAGGGAGGAGAGGAGTGACTAAAGAGGAGGGTGAGAGGAGGACAGAAGAAAGAAGATAAAGAAAGTAGAGGAGAGACTAAAGAGCAATGTCAGAGGAAGAAAGGAGATATGAGAATGAATAGTGTAGATGCAAGCAGAAAAAAGGGGGAGAGGAGGATAGGAAAATATAAGAGAGAGAGAACAGGAGAGGAGAGCAAGACAAGAGGGATGAGAGGAAGGAGAGGAACATAAGTTAAGGAGAGTATGAGAGCAAAGGAGAAAAAAAAAGAGGAACAGGGGAGGAGAGAAAGACACGCTGAGATGATGGGTAGAAGCCAGGAGAGTAAAGAGGATGTTTTCTTTTGTCACCTTGTTTGTCAGGATCAGCGGACTGTGACACAAGCGCAGAGACGGCCGGGAAGGTGATGGAGGACATCGCTGCTACAGCACCTGCTGCCCACATCATCCTGTAAACACACAAACACACACATACAAGGTTAGAGATGTCAGATCTCAGAATGATATCTCCTCTTCAACCACACCCTGACTACCCTGCATGTATATAATGATTAAATTGTTTTTATTTTTCCTTTTGCTTCGTCAAAACAAAATCAGAAAAAAACAAACAAAAATCTCACCATGGCTCGGATCCGAAGCCGTACCAGGCCAGCTGAAGGATCTGGAAACCCAAACCCAACAGAACTGTGTTTTTATTTCCCAGAGTCCTCATCAGCAGAGTGAGGAACAGAGTCTGAAGAAACAGAGAGAGAGAGGGAGGGGGTTATTAATGATGCTCTTACTTTGTATAATTCATAACTTATTCATTTCTTTAATTCAATCTGCTTCCAGTGTAACTATATCTGATTATTTGGGTCAATCTCAACATTTTACACCGAGCCAAATACTGTATTCAGCCCTGATTTACATTTAAAGTGTGAAGCCTAAGACAGATGTTGATGAGCATGCTCATATGGTCACATGTAAGCCTCTTTGAAGTTTGAAGAGACGAGAGTCAAGACTGTAGGAGGAAAGTTTGTGTGTGTGTGTGTGTGTGTGTGTGTGTGTGTGTGTGTGTGTGTGTGTGTGTGTGTGTGTGTGTGTGTGTGTGTGTGTGTTACCTGTGCTATGATGGATAGAATCCCCACCACTCCGATAAACACAGCGAGGGTTGTTGAGGAGAAATGAATGACCTGGAGGACAAACAGAATTTATTATCACTGTGTCACTTTCTAAGAGTGTAACCTAACACACAAGGAATAAAACTTACTAAACAAAACAATGTTTAAAATGTCAGATCCTTCGCTTTTTATTCGATCAGAATAAAGCAATATGTCTGCTGTTGATCAGCATGTTTGTTCGATAACAAAAAGGTCATCGTGCTTCAGCAGGGTACGGGACAACTGGGCCTAGTATGAGTGGACCCTAAAGACCTCACAAAAACTTTAGGGGAAAAAAAATATATATATATATATATATCATGGTTATAACTTCCTCTCTTAGTATGTCATTTTGTTTTATTATTATTTGTCGTACATATTACTCCACGTTTTTCAATGAGCCTCCTTGTATAATCGGAGTGACAATAAACGTCTAGAATCTGGAGCAGGAAAACGCAGCAGTGGTCGGCTGTGTGTGGCTCACCTGTCTCAGGTAGAGGAAGAAGCTGGAGTACTGTCCGGCCTCGGGCAGGTACGACAGGAACACAGTGATGCAGATCAGCAAGACAGTTGGATCCTGACCGACCTTTCTCAGGGACTGAAGGAGAGAGAGAGAGACAGAGAGCGAGAGAGAGAGAGAGAAAACAAAGTACAACTGTCAGATGATGAGTAAGCCTTAAGTTAAAGCCTGAGAGGTAAAGGGTTAAAGTCTGTTAAATACATCAGAATCTCATTTGACTATTTTATTATAATTATTCTATTCAAACGATTCAATTCTTAAAAAATGTCACTGTGTTGAGGAACACTGCGGTGCCTTCGCCCACGTCTCCACTCTACATACTGTGTCCAGAAACAGAGAGTAGGATAAATCATCAGAAATAAAAGACTACATTTAACTACAAGAAGAAAAAAAACCTGCCAAGAGCTCATCATTAAACCAACGAGACAAATACATCAGGTTTTTTTATTGGGTACTGACAGTGAAAGGGTCGGCCTGCTCCCAGGAGATGGGCGCCCCCCAAGTGTTGAGCCTCATCTTGTCGGGCAGGGACTCGGGTACGGCCAGCAGGATGAAGCAGATGTCGGCAAGAGCGATCAGCGTGGCCAGCAGAACCACCAGGTTGTCTCCGTACCAGGCGGACAGGTACGCCCCGATCGCTGGGCTCGTCACCAGGCTGGCTGCGAAAGTAGCAGACACCTAGAGAGGCAAAAAGAACAACTTTAGAGGATGACACTTGTTGCAACAAGATAGAAAAAGGTATAAAAAGAAGATGATCCTAACTTTCTGTAGCCGTTTTCCTAATGAGTTTATAGTGTCCATATCTAGTTAACAACGAGCCTCATTCAGCTTCATTAGCCTTTAAAAAGAAGAAGTACGGAGGAGCGGATGATGATATAAAACTCTGATCAAATCATTAAGCCCTCTGTTTATGTGGGGACGTGGCTCATGTTCACCGCGCTGTGTTTCTAAAACCTCTTAAAGACTGTTGGTTGATCACGCTATGACCCGTGCTGTCTCACCCTCCTCCTCCGTCTGTCTGACCAATGACCTTTTTTTTTAAATATTAAAGTGTGTAGACTAATGAAATGCTAGTTTTATGTCTGCATATAAAGAACGCCTTCATGCTAAAATCTCCAGTTCAGAATCACCACAGCCCTTTTATCGGCACCTGGCACTAATACTTTCTTCTTCTTTTGTTATATAATGGCGGCTAGCAAACAGCCTTCAGATGCCTTACAGCCGCAGACTGGTGCTTTTAAAACAGTAGAACAATATATATTTGGATAAAGATTTTGATTTCTCTATAAATTAAGGACCATGCTAACTTTTGAAAAATCAAAACCCAACCCTAATGTTCTTTTTGTGAACTACAGACCTTTTTAGAGTCATGGTCCTTTAAGAAGGATCACTTTGACTTGTGTTTGACAAGTCAAACTCAGGTCCAAAATGACAAGGATCACTTAATCCTTATTATGTAAGATAGTAATAAAACCCAACACAAAGCTTGTTGTGTCCTCAGATACTTCCTCTTCTAAGCTGATGTTTGTTTGTCAATCTCTCCTCCACGGCTGCACCGTCTGTCATTCAACACCTCCGTCTGTCGTCTGTCTGATGATCTGAGGTCACTCTGATGTTATGTAACTGCCTAGCTGACTCCTTTAGAGTCATCCTTTATTTACACACATCAAAAGATGTGCACAACTGGCAGCCCTTAAAAATTGAGTCTGTCTTTTTTTAAAGACACATTTTTGATAAGATCGCCACCTCGTCATGAAAAAAGACGAGAAATGTGTCAATGAAAACTCTGATATTAATATATGAGAATCTACCCTGTTATGCTCCAGTGTTGTGTACTGATGATGTATGTATTCTGTTTGGCAGGAGAACTCACCAGACCGTACGCCGTACTCCTCTCTCTCTCGTCCGTCACATCAGCGACGTAGGCGAAGATGACTGAGAAGGTGACGGAGAAAGCTCCGGACATGGAGATCATGGCGAAGTACCACCTGCAGGACGAGCAGAGAAACACTTTCAGATGATTCACTTTCATCAACACAAAAAGAACTTCCTGCATCTCTAACATGTGAAGTGGAATTATCTGTTTGATGCCTTTCAGAGGATCAGGCTAGCTTTTGATTTAAAAAGTGATCATCACATTTTTATTAAGGAAAATAATTTCTTTGCAGAAACTATGAAAGCAATTGACAGCATGAGGAGCTTCACTCTTGTTAAAAAAAGTGAATGCTGCTGAGAAATAGTCACATTAATCTGATGTAGAAGATTTTAACCAGCCTGCCCCGAGCTGAACGTTCACCTTTCCGATGATTTTAACCTCGTCTGAAGTTTACTTCTCTTAACTCATGTACCAGAATCAGAAGAAACAGAGATTCCTACCAGGGGCTGAGCCTCATCAGGGGGATCGGAGCGCAGGTGAAGAAGACAGTGACCAATAGGAACGTCCTCCTGCCCCACACGTCCGACAACGCACCAATCAGAGGTGCTGACATGAACGACAGCAGACCCTGGACAGGAAGAGGTGGGGTCAGTGACATATTAAATCCACACTGATGATCTTTTTTTGTCATGTGTATAATATGAGTCTAAAAGCTGAAGATGTTACCTTCACGCCCTGAATGAGTCCGTTAATCAGGAACGTGTGCTGAGGGAATGTTTCATGTAAAACCTACAAAGAAAGGAACAAACATGTCAACAGAATTCACAGAAAACAGGTCAACAGCCTTCATTTATGTGGCCAGATTCAAAATAGCTTCTTAGTTATTACAATGCAGCTCTCACTCCATAAAACTCTGTGTGAATCAAAAATACACTAAATATTGATTCTGTTCCTCCGAAGTCAAACACTTCTCCTGCTCCACAGAAACCATCATAAATATCTTTCTCCTCATGTTTGATGTACACATTTCTTGCACTTCAAGGTTTACATTATAGTGCTGCTGGGCAATTAATCAAGTTTCAATTTTTGATTAATATTTCGTCTTCCCACAATAATGGAAACAAGATCATCAATATTAGACAATCATTGTGCCGCATGCCTTGTTGCACTGACTTTTGACGTGTCCTGCAGAGTGTTTGGATAAATACTTGCGATGCAGATGTTGAGAAATCAACGAGTGATCATGTTTAAAAATCGTGATCTCAACATCAATTAAAATAATCGGGATCATGATTTCTGTCATAATCGAGCAGCCCTAGTTTACAAAACATGGCTTCATCCACAAAATACCAAATTTGTTTTTCCTCAACATTAACTGATCTAGCTTGATACTCAGTAACACACAAACTATCTTTATGCACAAGATGCAAAATACCAACTTTGTCAAACAAATGAAAAATCCACCTTGTTTAACAAAAGGCCTTTTTAACCCGACGAGTTAGAAACTTTCTTTCTGGCTCAAACCATCTATCAATCCATTTTGCACCAAGAAGGAGCTCATTAAAAAATATATATCCAGCCAACTATTTTTAAATCAATTTCCAAAAGTCTAAAGTTTCTGTTTGTGTTCATAAATTATGAACAATCACATGTTCAGTGACATATTGTTTCACAGATTGGACCCGTGTGATGTCAGAGCTAATCCTTAAGTATGAAATCAATCAGGATGTCGACGCACACATGTGACACACATCTTGTCATCAGCACACAGCGTTACTCACAGTGAGCATGGGCGTGGTGAGTAATCCCCAGGAGAAGAACTCCAAGAAGATGACCACCACGGCGTGATACACACTGGGTCTGCCGATCCCCTGCTGTAGCTGAAACACACAAAACAACACACATTTTACAATCACAGTTATTTTTAAAACACCTCTGAGAATCACATCCCATGAGTTCAAACCACAAATCTAAGTGGACATTTGGGCCAACCCTGACTTAATTCCTTCGATGCTCCTGAAATATAGATTCTTGGGAATAAAAGTAAACGTTCTTTTCCAAGACCTTTGATTTGATCTTTAACATTTTGGGTCAAATGTCATTACTTCATCATTTCATCCTATAAAACATAGTTCTTCGAATTTGTGTTTTAATCAGCGCTGAACTCTTGAGGTTATTTTAAATGGTCACTCATGTCATTTGAGGATATTCCCTTCACTTATTCCTACAATATTGCAATCCCAAAAATGAGACGCATGGCACAAAATAAATACTGTCCCAGCCACGCAGAGGAAATAAATGTAAAACAGCTTAATCTATCCATCCATTATCTATTCCACATTTCCCATTAGGGGGCTGGAGCTGAGCCAACATTACATTACCATCCTCTGGTAATGTTATGTAGTTAAAATCTCTTTTTGTGGGTTCTGACCCAAATCACAACACTCAGAGGCTCGTCAATAAACGGCTCGTGGTGAGCCGAAAAAAGTTCTTCTCTGGTGTTGTAGACTCAAATCAAAGCTCAACACTGTGGATTTTAATAATGCACCACTGTCTCCACTTTGTAAAACAAGCTAACGAGCTCTGTTGAGGGAAAAAAGCGAGTGACAGAGCCTTTAAGAGCCCCCGTTTAAGAGCGTCCGTCGACGCGAGTGACAGAGAAGTAACAAACAAAGCACAATCATTTGAACCCCAGAGACACAGGTGAGGGTTTGGTGTGGTCTAATCAAAAGCTTTTAACTGGAGCACCAGTGAAGTGACATTAAGTGATTGTTAGCCTACTGACACGGATACAAAGGATTGAGTCGGTAAAATGGACCATTTTCTATCTTTAGCTTGAATAATAACAGGTGATTATTTATACTGGAGCAGATTTAGACCACTTAGATAATCACTTATTCTCTTCTGTGTTATTAAGTTTAGGTCAGCAGTTGAGAGTCAGAGTGAAAGTAGAAGAAGATCATTACAGGAATAGTTTCATTATTATCAGGGTTCTGTGTCGTTTTCATTCATTTATTTTTTCTGATTATTTGATTTAATTCTTCATCCAAAGAAGCACATATTTCCCTTAAACCCCTCTATTTCAGCCCTGCTCAGAACAGGCTGTTTCTGTGCCTGTACCTTTAAATATGTAAATGAGCTGTGTCTGACCACGCCCCCTCTCTGGAAGGGCTTGGGTGTACTCAGGCTTTCTCGCTCCATGTCCTATTGTTTACGGTGAGATGGCAGACTCAGAGGGCAGAACAAACACCTAGCTGTGGGAGTGTCACCCACCTGGGGGAAGGGTTACTGCCCTTTGTGATGTCATGAAGGGAAAATCTCCAAACAGCCTGTTTGAGCACACATTTTCTGAAAAGTGGAGCAGGGAAAAGATGGAGAGGATGGACTTCTCTCATATCATAGTGAGGTGATAGGCAAGGTTGATAAAGCTCTTTCCAAAACGAGGGTGATGGCTTTCACCCCTGAACGTGGAGTTGGCCTGCTTTCTGTTGGCCACGCAGGTGCCAAACACCGGCGGTCAGGTTGGTCTAATGTGCTGTAGCTTGCAGTGTAGGTACAAGCAGTAAACGTACACACTACGTCCTGCAGTGAGTGTGAGCTTCTGGGGGCAATGAGCCCAGGAGGACTCCACCTTTAACACATACAAAAGTAACTCCAGGGCCAATACGTGGATCAGTTCTTCATTTCATGTTGAATTTAACAAGGCTTGTTGCTCAAACATCTGAAATGTTGCAAGGTGTGTATGCAAACACTGAGGAGGCACCACTGCTACTAATACTTGTTTGAAGTGCAGAAAAAAAGCAGTTTAATCATCAAAGAACAATGAAAACTGTCCTTTAGGGAGCGCTGGTAGACGAGTGGTTAGTACGTGCACCGGAGGCTAGTCTATCAAGCGGACGGCCGGGGTTTGAATCCGACCCGTGGCTCCTTTCCTGCATGTCATTCCCCACTCTCTCTCCCTGATTCCTGACTCTATCCACTGTCATATCTCTACAAGAAAAGCATAAAAAGCCCAAAAAATAACTGTCCTATACTTTCCGGTAGATAAAACTGTCCTATACTGAAGTTTTGACATTTGTGGCATTTAATCTGTACGATAACTTACTTTGTTGACCAAGTGATTTATTAAAAAAGGACTGCATGTTTCGGCTCTATTTGATGCACGACAAGGGACGGAGCGTTTGTTTACATTCTGTTTACTTTATTTCCATTGATGTTGTTGGTATCTTCTTTTTCATCCACCTTTGTCACCTACAGCTGTTTGAAGAGCTGCTGCAGCAAACTATCATCTATCTGTCAGCCATTTGTCATCACACTATATTCAGTAAAATGTTAAACAAATTGTGAACAATTCTCATCAGAATTTCCCGGATCCCAGAGCGTTTTCTTCATGTGATGTTTTATCTGAGTAAAGCACAAATAGAAGTCCAGTCATTTTCATTCATTCAGCTCAAAATGATGAAATGGGACTCCATGCTGTAAAAACAGTCTGCCTTTTTGGAGATAGAGGTGATTTAAACAGCACGTTTTTGTTGCCCTGGTGTGTTATATGCAGGAGAAAACAGCATCCACACTGTATTCTAGCTCTGTTTGGTTTGATGACAACACTGTAAATGTGTTTATGTCTCAGCAGGGCTGTTAAAATGGACGCTGGCTGAGGCTGTGCGGTGTTGAATCTGCAGTCCTCGCCTGGCCTCGGTTTACTGAGCTGTTATTATGTAACAGATAATGGATCCATCCCGACCGAGCGAGCGAGCGACCACATCATCCTCATCCTCCTCTCCTCATCATCATCCTCACACTAAGCCGAGCTGACTGAGGGGCCACATCCAACCTGCTGTGTGCTGTCTCCATTACAACACACATTCATCCACATCCAACTAAAACAGCCATTTTAGACTGCAGCTCTTCTCCTCTGGCTCATTTTATTCGTTTTAACACCGTAAATAATATTTTATTCCTTTGGATTTGACATAAAGATGATAGGACTTGTTATTACAGAGCAATGTTTCCCCCGTCATCTCAGTTTATCTGGTAATATTTTTTAAACGTAAAATCATCATAAATTTGGTTTGTTTTCAGCATACCTGAGAGTCATAATGTGGAACACGTCATGTGTTTTAAATTGCAGTTATGTCATCAATAACTGAAATAAATGAGCTCATATTAATAGTAGAAATGCAGGTGTAGCTATAATAATTAAATAAAATATGAAGGGCTCTAAAACACTGAGAACAACATCTAATCGACTGGATTAATGTAGGATAATAATTAATAAATTAAAAATGAATTAATTGAATGAAATAAAAATGGCGGGTCATCCACCCACCGCAGCTCCGTCCTTCATGACGATCTTCTTCACCAGCACCACCCGGCCGGTTCCCGCCGGCGGCTCCCCCGGCATCTCTTCACACCTGCCGCGGGTCACGAAGCAACCATGCCGCGTAGATATCCGCGGTTCTCCGGGTGCTTCCAGGATGAATCCGTATTTAGCCCCGAAAAGGCTAAAAAAAAAAACAAGCTACCGGATAACGACACTTCTAACCGTGATGAGATACCGTCCACAATGTCTGCCGTTAGATCCTCAGGTCAGCCAGACAGTCCGCAGCTCGGTGAAGATCCACGGTCAGCGTCAAGCTACGAACAACTAGGAAAGTGTTTCCGGTTTGGCACCTTTTCAACTTAAAAGTCTAACTCGTACAAATACGCATCACTCACTGCCCAAACACTATTCTTTTTCACTGGACCAGTTACCATGGTAGCAGGAGCTAAAATGACAAAACAGTTGTAGTGTAGTCCTTATTTTAAAATTACCTTTTTAATTCACTTTCTATTGATTTAGCATAGCCTATGTGTGTTTTTTTTAAATGTGTTTTGTTTATCTAGGCCTATAGGCTACTTTATTTTCAGACACAAGGCAAAAATCAAGTACTTAAAAAGAGCAGCAATACACTCTTTGTGTATAAAGGAAGATGTTCCAATACAAATACAAAAGGCAAATGAAAAGCTGAAAAAGACATTGAAAATAATAGTTCAGCTTTATAATCCATAAAGGGAGGTTTGCTTTGCAAAACAATAAAACATAGAATATAGGCTCACAGACTAAGCTACAAGAAACATTACAATACATTAATACAAGAATAGGACTATAGGAATGACTGACAGTAAAACTGTCCAATCATAAGTCATCAGCTGTGAAGGATAAAATACCTCATACTGCATCATACACTTTTGAAATGTAGTTGAATGATGGCTAATTGACAAATAAAGGAATCTAACAAAACAAAGAAGGAAAACGTGGACATAATAAAAGCAGAGAAGGCTACCTTATAATTGGGATGCCTAATTGCCCAGCTTGACTAAAGGTAACGTTCACTGCTTCTAATCAGCACAGAGACTTGTTTTAGAAAGGCTATTTGTTTTGTTTTGTTTTGGATTTCCACAGATGGGCCTACAATGTTCATAAAACAACATATGCAACAAGATCTCAAACTTACAGGCTACATGCCTGAGCTTATAATGTTTTTTCAAACAGTAATTGTTAAAGAGAAAGACATAAAGACATTAAAGGAACAACAGCTCAAGATAATTTTACAGGTGTTATGCCCTATTCATTTGCATCTGAATATGCTATACGCTATGCTATATATTAAACTTAAAAAAATACCAATTCGAGATTTTGAAAATAATATCAATTAGTCAATTGTAGTTCTTTTTATACTCTGCTTTATTGGCATATTAATGATCCAAGTTAAAGAAATGACTACCTGACATTACAAGTTATCTTTTTTTTCCTCCTCTGGCGAGATCATCACATTTATTTTGAAGCCAGGTTTCTCTACTTCCGGTTCCACCGGCATAAATTGACGTTTACATTTAGGTTCGGTTCCGTTCACAGCAGAAATTAAAGAACTGAACCAGGTCTTTGACTGATTGACCGGGTCAGACCGGTAGCCTACAGACAACTGTCAAGAACCGGGACTGTTAGCACGAAGAAGGTGGGAACCCGAGAGCTCGGCTCGTTAACATAAACACGGAAGATAACAGGAGCATCAAACCGAAAGTAAGATGCTGCCTTCACAATAAAACAATAGACAAAATACATATTTTAGGCCGTGTTTAATTTATATGCCATTTAAAATCACAAACCCTTTAAAACAGCTAAAAATACGTTTACTCCACCAGGTAGCCTAAATTTAATTTACCCTCAGAATCAGTTAACCATTTTTCATCGTGTGGATTTTATTTCTAAAAGGAA